GCGTTTTGAAGCGCTTTTTGTTGGATTGTGGAGCGTGGAGAACACCTGGAGTTTAGAAAGATGCGAGTGGTTTTGTGCCGGAGGTTGAACCGCGACATTTTCCCTTTGTAAGTCGCCGGTTTGGTTTCAGTTTTCTTTCATACTGTGCGATCTCCCGCTTTGGAAATTTGGGTCATTATTACATAAAACTTTTTCTTTTTTTCCTGCCCCTCATCCTTCTGTGTTTGGTGCTTCTTTCCCACCCTCCAGCTCTTTTTTTTTTTTATTGTTATTATTATTTGCTCTCAGTAGTTTCTGGATTCTTTGGGTTCCATTTGCCTTTCAGAAGCTGCTGAGCTTTATCTTGGAGTTCAGAGTCAGATGGGCTTTTAATTGTTGCGTTCAAGCTGTTCAACAGAGCAAATTAACTCCCTGCTAAAGCAAATGCAAACCACCCCAAATTATTGTTTAATGAGCTGGTTCATGTGTTGCCTGAGAAAAGTAATAAACTAGGATTTGTTTTTTCTTTCCTCTGTTGTACTTCATTCCTGAGCACCTCTTTCTAAGGTGTGTTTTTTGCGAGTTCTCAAGTACTTTTATTTTTGGTCTTTGGTTCACCCTTCCAGTTTGTGTGGTGGATTGACCACAGAAAGCTCTTTTGGTGGGAGTTTGGTGATATTGGAATTGTTTCCGATTGGATTTGTTGGATGAGCAAGTAAACTCCCTCAGGGTCTCCTGAGCCTGCCCTACCTGCACAGCTGCTACTTGAACGGGTGCAGATTAGAAATGTTATTTTGCAGACTGAGGTCAGTCTTGACTCTTTCTGAGGTCAGTTCTGAGCCCTCAGCCCGGGAGCCACTTTGTTATGAGCCTTGGATCCAAATACAGAAAAACCAACTGTGAACCCAGGCCAGCCTGGAAAAGCCGCTGTTAGATCCGTGTTAACATCTGAGGCTTCACTTCTTTGGCTCAGACAGTGGGGTTTGGGAGCTCAGCCAGGGCTGTGGCACTTCCCTCGTGTTCCCGAGGCTGACGTGATCCTGCCCCCTGGTTTGCTCTGGGGTCTCCCTCGTGATCCTGCCCCCTGGTTTGCTCTGGGGTCTCCCTCGTGATCCTGCCNGGGGTCTCCCTCGTGATCCTGCCCCCTGGTTTGCTCGGGGATCTCCCTCGGAGCTGATGAAATGTGGCCTGTGGTGACACAGCAGGGCTGGGGCTGCACTGGGGCTCTGCATCCCTGGATGTCCCGGTGTCTCCAGGGCAGGTTGGTCCCTGCTCCTCCTCCTCGGCTCAGCCCACGTGCCTTTGGAGAAGCCTGGTCTGTTTTCCCAGTTTTTGAGTTCTTGTTCAGGCGGGAGTTTCCTGTGGGATTTTGTTCTGTGTGTGTTGGAAGGAGCCGTGGTTGGGATCGCTGCTGATGGTTTGAACCCCCCAAATCCCAAAAAAGCAGTGCTTTGGTGTGCTCCAAACCAAGCCAGGTGGAACCTTCTCTGCCTCCAGCAGGACATGTCTGGGCTAATTCCTGATGAAATGGATATTATGGAGCCACAGGGCTTTCTTCTTCTTCCCTGGGGATTTTTGATGTGTTACAAACACCCTTCACTGACTTGGATTCATTACTTGAATTTATTGTATCTTGGGGAGTTTTGTCTTTAATAGTTTGTCCTTGCTGCTCATTCGTTGCTTTTCCTGGGAAGGGAATTGGAGGGAAGAGGGAAACTAAATGGACCTAATGCTCCTCTGTTCTCCTTGAGCAAGACTTTGGGCTGGTTTATTTGTGCTCTTGTCCCTGAGTGTCTTCACTCCTCAGATCTGTTGGGGTTTGTAGGAGGGTTGGCCACTCCAGCTGGGTGGTTTGGTGGGTTTGGGGCCTGGTTTTTGGTGGTTTTGGTGTTGCTTGCAATTATCCTGGACTTTCACAATCAAATTAAGCGAAGCACTCACTGGCTTTGAGGAACTTTAATTAGTTAATTGGCTTCTTTGATAGCCCCACCCTGACTTGTCTCTCTCCGAGGCAGGGTTTTAATATTCCTGCATGATCTCTGAGCCGTGGTTTGGGTATCATATGTGGAGTTGGGCATGGAAATCAGCTCAGTTTTGGGAGCACTGGGCTCCACTCCCTGTGCTCCCACTCACAGCATTCCCACCCAAACACCCATTCCCAGCTGTGACAGAGCTGAGACGCTCCTCGCAGGGAGGTGCCAAGAAATCCAATTTGGCAGGGAAGGCAACACTCTGCAAATCCAGTTCTGCAATTTGGGGTTGTTTCTTTAAAAGCTGCAAGTGAGGGATGGCTTCCTGCAGGATGAGACCCTCGAGCTCGGGAATTGGGGACATGAGGGGGATCCATCAGCCCTTGGTACGTCAGCTGGTGCTGCTGAATGTGCCATTGTCAGCTGGGAAGCAAACACTGTGCCTCGTTGGGAATTCTGAGCCTGAGCCGCCGGCCAGAGCTGGGCTCTGTCACTCAGGGATCCTATTTTTCGCTCCAGAACAGATTAAATATTTAGTCTTCACCAAGGAGTCACCTCAGAGTGTGAGGAATTGGCTCTGTCGTAGATAGTTGCATTTTGGAGGTGCATTTAAAAAGTGTGCTTCTTGCACTTCTTGTCCCAGAATTTCCCAGGTTATTGTTTTTGAAAGAGGAAACAACCGGGGGCCAAATAATCCAGGCTGGTCCTGGAAGTTTGCTTTTTAGCTTTTCTTTTTTATGAAGTGAATTTAACGGTGCATTTGGGAATTGTGTTACTGCCCCTCCCTCCCTGCATCCCACCAATGTGGAATGGGATAGAACTGCAGAGTGCCAAAGTCTTGGACACTTGGCCAGTGTTCCTGACCAGGAACTTGCCTGAGTGGGTAGAAAGAGCACATTTGCTGTACAGTTACAGGAAACTGGCTCGTGGTTCTTTGTGGGGCTGAGACCACTTTCCTGCTCTCTTGACCAATATATAGAAGGTAATTCATGGACAAGTAGTGGTGATAAATCACAGTAATTCCTGCAATTCCCCTGGAGCTGTCCAAGGCTTCTGAAAGTGTTTCTCTGAGACCCAGGTGATTCTTCTGTGATTTGCAGGAAGAAATTTCAAAGCTGGGTGTCCCCAGTAATTATTTTGTGCTGAACTGTGGGTCAGCCTGCTGGGTTTTTTCTGGAGAGGGTGATGGGATCAGCAGTATGGCTTTTCCCTCTCCCTTAGCCAAGCATCCACAGGATGTCATGTGTCAGGCCTGCAGAGCCTCTCTCTTAAATACTTTCCTTGAACATCCCTGGAAGTGTCCAAGGCCAGGTTGGACGGGGCTTGGAGCAACCTGGGCTAGTGGAAGGTGTCCCTGCCCATGGCAGGGGGTGGAATGAGATGACCTGTAAGGTCCCTTCCAACCCAGACCATTCCATGGTTCTCTTATCACCTGGAGTTACTGTTTGTCTTCATTACAGCAACTCTGGAATCAGTTTCCAGCAGAACAGGTGGCACATCTTGGTGATGCTCCAGTGAGTGTGACTGTTGGCTTGATCCTCCTTGGATTTGGTGGCTCAGTCAGAAATTCCAGTTGCTGCTGGTACCAGTGATTGTGTGGCTTCTGATTCATTGCAGAAACTTCCCCTGAATTCCTGCAGAGGATTTAGAAACCTCCTTAGAGGGAGTGCTCACACCCAGGGGGTCTGCAGGGTGGGTAACAGGGTCCTGACAGCCTGGGGAGAGCGTGTGTGGGATGAGACCCCATCCCTCTCCCTGTTCCCTTGGGCTGGATTTGGGTACCTACAGGGCTGTGGTGGCTGATTTACTCCTGAGCCCAGCAAATTCCATGTATTCCATTTTTCTGCCTTGGCTTTCTGTTGGATTAGGGCTGTGGATCTGCTTGTCTGGGTTAGTGGGAGTGTTGGAGCCTGGGAGAAGGGGCTTATTTCCCATTGCTGCCACTGACTGGCTCTGATGTGTTCCTTGTGAGCCCCTTGATTTAATCCATGACTGGGGGGCTGTGCAAACCAGAACTGTTCAGAGTAGTTATTGCTCAGTTGGGTTTTGGTATTGAGGGGTGATACTGAGCTGCTTTTGCCTCCATGGTGGGGAAGTGGCACCAAATCCCTGCTGGTGACAGTGACTGGACATGAGCCCAGGTGTGCCCAGGGGGGCAGGAGGCCAATGGCCCCTGGTTTGTACCAGCCATGGGGTGACACAGGGCAGGGTTTGTACCAACCATGGGGTGACACAGGGCAGGGCC